GGCGCCCAACAAAAGCATGCGAATCAGCGCAAAGACCGAAATAACCTTGCAAATACCGAGATCAAGATCGGAACGCATCCATGGAAACGTAGATCTGAGATCCAGATCCGTTCAATCGCTTCGCACATCTACGCGTACATTTTGGGGGACGGATATCGGATATCACTACGGGGACCACTCAATTTCAATTTCAATTTCAATTCAATCTCAATGTGCCCCTCAATCCAACGCCCAATGCACCAGTTAATTTCGATAACACTCAGCAATAACGTGTCTCGAAAATGCGGTGTCCTCAATGCTCATCGTACGATTAGGCACATGTTGTACATGCCCATGCGATATCTGGCGGTGAGGGTTTATTAGGCACTCAGAAGTGGATATTACGAGTGATATAGTCCGACTCGTTGCAGAGCAAAGCGACTGATTCTAACTTCTAACGATGCGCAAAGCCCCCCTCTTACTGGCTTATTGGCTTCACAGCGACCCCTCGGCTAGAGCAACTCCTCTGCTTTTATCATAATTCAGCCGAAACTTGGCCACGTGACCTTACCTGGTCACCTCACGCTGCATTAAAACGCTATTATTTCAGCCCCCCTAGGAGAAAACTTGGCCACGTGACATGTACGTAAGACCTTCTGATTTATACTTGCTTCGCTTCGCTCCGCAATCATGCCATGTCGATGTTTTCGACAGGGATTGATGCCCAGGTGTGCGACTAGGACCGGGGTTTAGACCGTGGAAGCCAATTTTGGGCCCGTGCACACGGTTTGGGGTAGGACTGTGTTTAGCTTTGGGGTGGACCTACAGGGATGTTGTATAACTTGACAATGGCATTGTATGCCGGATCTACATATCTATGTTACGATACAATGTCGGCCATGAGAAGGAATTATATCGTTTTCTTGGCCGGTTTATCTTTGAGCAATCGGATTTGGAAAATATTATTGTAGCAAATCACTGAGAGTATGAAGAACTCCCTATAGTATCAATAATTTGCACAAGACTAATCTGGGGAGTCCCTCTTCAATAATCTGAGTATGAATCCCTTCAAAGTATCCAAATGATCTTCGGGGGATCTTCTGAAGATCTGAAAATCTACGTCCCGTTCAAGTAGAAGCTCCAGGCAAGGGGGTCTTACTACGAGGTGCTGAATGCGCGTTCGCCTCGAGGTCAGGGTAGTGAAGACTGTATCAAATATAGCCACGAAACGCAGCTAGAATAGTTGGGATAGATGATAGACAATATTTTATGCGGATGGCTTTGTTGAACGCATATGTCTTCGATAGGAAGTCAGCACTTGAGAGTTTGCATGGCTTTGCTACCTTCTCAAGGTTGCTTGACTTGGCCATTATATTACTCAGGAGTTATTACGAGAAGCATGACGCATCGTCTGAACAGGTAGGTGTCTACATAGTGGAAGGCGAGAATGGTGATTGGATAGATGATAAAAAACCAATAAGTATCCGTTGGTTAAGTATCAAAGTCAGTGTGGTAGGAGTAAGGATACCCAGTGGCCTAGTTGGTAACTCTATCGAGCAGTACCTGCTCTAGACTACCCTCTAGGTCACCTACCTGGGTTCGAACACTGTCGAGAATTACGCACTCACGGCTCTGGGTTCGTTTGTCCACTTTTTTTATACTTTTTTTTCTCTCTCCCTACTTCTGTTATATGATTCCAGTTCTTTGCTCTTCATACGCTTTCAAAATCGCAGATGACATTCTTCATTCTATCGAGGCATTCACTGTATGTCAACAACATGAACTCCAGTATCAAAATGCGCGTCATTCATACTATTGGCCTTGGCCTTGGCGTTCTTTGAAATCTCCAGTGTAGATCATTGCATAGTCGCCAGATGGTCATGTATATCAATGAAATTGTTCCGATCCATCGTCTCTTCTTCTCTAATCAACTATTATTTCTCTATGTCTTGATATTCTTCTTTATTTGGTCCATTTCTCCCAAATTTAACTGGCCAGGTTGCCCTTTCGGTTATAAAGCACACTTTTTCTCTTTTATCAACAAGGCCGGCTGGCCCAATGGCAAGGCGCTTGACTACGAATCAAGAGATTGCAGGTTCGATCCCTGCGTCGGTCACTTCATTTTTTGCCCATTTCTTTTTATTCGTCTCTCGTTTTGGCCTTTCCTTTCCAATTTATGCTGTGCAAAATATTATAGACTGAATATAAATGGTTCTCGGCATTTTCGGCGAAAAAAACTCACTTAATTGGTGCGAAATATCAATTATCGAATATAGCGGTTAGCCGTTATATATCCTAGCCATAACACCAGTCAACAAACCAACTTTACTAGAAACGAACGAAAGGTTCCTATAACAAGATGAAACCAGATTCATATATACAGCATTCATCCAGAAAGATCCAACACAACCCGACCCTGCATCTTCCCCTCCTCGAGCTCCTTGAACACCCCAGTCAAAGCATCCATCTTCTCTATCCGATAATGCACCTTAATGACACCCCTGGCAGCAAACTCCATAGTCTCAATCGCCTCCTTCCGACTCCCAACCGCCGACCCGGTAATAGTCCACTGCTGGCCAACCATCGCAGACGGGAACGCCGTCGCAATAGCCTGCGGGTCATGTTCCGGAATGCCCACGCAGACCAGCGTACCATTGAAACGCAGCAACGACAGCGCCTGCGCATACGCCGCATTCACAGCCGTACAGACAATCGCCGCGTGAGCGCCCAGTCCATCCGCCAGCGAATGAACGTGCTTTGTCAGCGCGGCGCCATCATCGTCCCTCGGGAACTGCGTGATATCCACGAAATGCTCTGCCCCAGATTCCTTGACGAGTCCCTCTTTGCTGCCGTGGTCGATGCCGATTACGCGCAGGCCCATTCCCCGGCTCGCGAGCTGTACTGCGAGGTGGCCTAGCCCGCCGCCCGCACCGGAGATTATCACCCACTGTCCGGGCCGCGCGTTGCTGCGTTTCAGTGCGGAGTATACTGTTACGCCGGCGCAGAGCAGTGGTGCTGCCGAGGCGGAGTCGAGACCGTCTGGGATAGGGGTTACGTAGTTTGCGGGTCCTAGTGTGTATTGCTGGAATGTTCCTGGGGTGTAGTAGCCGGAGACTTTCTGGTTGAAGCACAGTCCGTCGGAGCTGGCTTGGCAGGGTTCTGGATGGGGGGTTGTTAAGTTCGAGGTGTATATTTGGGTTGTTGAGGAAAGTAAATGAATGGTATACGTACGGCAGTGCCCACATGCACTGGAAACCCATTTGACACCGACTCGATCGCCGATCTTTAGGTTTGAGGATTCGGTGTCTGCACCGAGTTTGACTACCTTGCCGACACCTTCGTGGCCGCCCACTTGGCCTGGCTGAGTTGGATGTGGGAACGCGCTCCACTGGGCGGTATTAGTAAATACCTGAGACAGAGAGGGTAGTTAGGATATGTGCATACTCTGTTGGTCATGATACTAAAGTCCGAGTGACACACGCCGGAATGTGTTCTATGATCGTCAATACCATTATACCATTCAAAATCAAGATAAGATGTACAAATTAATCAGAACCTCGCCCGAACCAGGCTCTGGAACATCTAGTTCCACAATCTTTGTCGAAACCGTCCCAGGCTGGTCATAAATAATGGCCTTCTGCTTGGCGGGAATTTCAGGAGCGGCCATAATGACTGATTGCTGGTGACAGGCTGAAAGGAGGCCAGATGTTGAACTACGAAGTTAATCTCAACTGAATTTCAAGCGCCGGAGAGGTGTCTATAGAGAAGATGCTTAATTGAATGCTGGAAAGGGTCTTAAATAGATTGTCTTATTTTGTCAAGTAGAAAAAGAGGAGAAAAGCGAAGAGGGTCCTGTGACCGAATAGCGGGGTTCGGGACTTTTGGATCGACGGATCAAGGGCACACACTGGCATGCCGAGGAAGCTGGCCATCCAGGCAGGCATTATGATAGTGTTTCTTTGTGCTGGGATGAAGTGAGGGGTGAGACGCGGAGTCATGGAGGGACCTCGGTTCCATAAGCTGCATACATCTGCATCCATTGCTAGAATGAACAATAAAGTCAGAGGAGTGGATTGTAGAGAGATCCAAGACGTGGAATGTTGGGAGTTTATATACATTGGAGAATCCCCAAGGTCCTCGCATATTAGCTCGAATTCAGGCTGTGTTTATCGAAGAAAAATTCATATGGACCACAGCACAGAAAATGAGATGTAACCATCCGAGACATTCTCATCGGAATACAGTCTAGTATAGAGTCGTATAGCAGTAATACTAGTGCTATTCCACCACTAGTGTATAGTGGGACTGGTCCTTCAAACAGAGAAAAAAGAGACTAGCAGGCACAGCACAGTCCAAAGCGGCGATGCTTCGAAGACTTGCTGGACCTCATAATAGTCAGTCGTACACTTTATTGGAATCAATAATCCCACCTTTCACTCTTGGTGGCTTGGATACTAGCTATTTTCAACTTGATAAGGAATGTACCATATGGCCTAAGTACGGAGTACAGAAATGCAAATGTAGCGTTCCGAGACATTTGGCTTTGGCCCTAACGTCTAGCATATACGCCGCTTCGTATAATAATATATAGTTATTCGCGCAATTTAAATCTTGTCCTAGATTGAGAGGTCCGAGTCTTGGCTGATCCGAAAGGAAGATATTCGGATTTTCTAAGCGACAAATTGAAGCCATTATTTTCACTAGTTAGACTCATTTGTAATTGAAATTAGACCTATTGTACATCGGCCAGACAACCCTTTATAAGGATAGACCGACCTCTGCCGCTCAGAGATATGTTTCTGGGGACAACAGGTACTTCTTGGAGTTTCATAGTTCACTGTGCATGAGTATATGAAAAGCCTAGCTTTCAAGTCAAGAAATCATACTCCGAGCCGTTGTCCATTTCCATTGTCGCGGTGTAATTAACGCCTTCCTTCAACCGGAGCTTGACATGGTGGCTAATGTATTTGAAATTTCTAGATCCCCGTCGGTCACACTCAAATTGAGTGCCCGCTTCAACGATGCTCTTCCCACTCGTCCGAAAGATCGGCCTTTTGGCCTTTGGGGCCTTGGTCATGGTCAACCCTGCACTTGGAGCAAAAAAGCCTAGGCTAGGTGCTTACGACCTGACGGAAGCCAAAATGCCGCTTGGCCCGCTCAAAGTTACCCTAGACTATGGCCTCGCAACAACTTGGCCGACGCCGATGGATGTCAATGGGCCGAAGGTCAAGCGCAATTGGCAATTTAGTACCCACATGGTGTTCAAGAATTCCGTTGATGAAATATCGGACGGGCAGCTCTGGCAAATCGCACGAGATGCGGTTGATGAGATGATTGCCGACCGAGAGCAATATATCATCGGAGAGCGAGCACAACCTGGGGCCATGGGAATTCTGGCCTGGGGTAATGAGATCATACTCGCTTCTTCTATGAAGGGAGCGGGCTCTTTCTCCTATGACTTTCTTGGAGGTGACAACCCGGTCGGTAGAAGACTAGAAATATGCCAGATGCTCTGGGGGGGAGACTGGTCGACTACCCACAAGAACAATGGCAATTGCGCAGAGGAATTTGCGGCCTTCTTATACCACAGTCAAAACGAAATCGAACTGAAGGAACAAAACCCGAGAGTTGGCACCTGGGTTTGGGTAAACGCTGATTGGAAACAGACAGATCCATGTGGAACTGGTGAAGCGGCAAGTAATTAGTGTCCTTAGGAGCTTATGCTTCATGAAGATTAACTGACAAATGTATAGGACATTTGGGGGTGCAATATTTTCGTCCAGGGTGAGGGAATGAGGGTAATGGATACTGAAACAGCACCGGAACCTTACACGTTGGCCAGCCTTGCTGGAGGCCCGACCCGTCAGGAGCAAATTCAGTCATGCGGGGGTGATCACATGATCCATAGTTATCAAATATTCGTCGCTTGACCAGAGTCTCAACCTTGGAAAGAGGCTGTGCTTATAAAAAGACTTGATGTCAACTCTCCGGCTACAATTTGACTCAAGTCAATACCTTAGGATGATTCGAAAAGGCCTTGTTTCGCTTTCATTTGGCAATGCGGAACTGCAAAACATGCTTCAGTGCATTGTTGGCTTGGGGATACACTAACCCCGCACTCAAAGGTCTCCGTAACTCCAACACTAACACTATTTAGGCCATCGATCGCATGAACAATGCGACGTTACAACACAGCGATATGAAAAACCACCCCTTGCAGAAGGGACTCGGTCCTTCTTCCCATCTTCTGCATCTATCGTGTTATTGACAGCCCAAATCCGCAAACCCAACGCGCTATTACGTATGGTCCAAGCTTCACATTCCAGAGCGTCATGGCAATTTTGCAGAGGAATAAGTTGTGCAGCCTCCTACTCCTCCAATGCGTCCTAGGCACTGTAGCAACCCAAGATGACCTCCACTATGTCAATCCCCTGATCGGATCAACCAATGGCGGTAATGTCTTTGCAGGTGCAAGCCTCCCCTATGGCATGGCGAAACCCGTCGCCGACGTCGATGGCCAGAATACCGGAGGTTTTTCGACTGATGGGAGCAATGTCACTGGCTTTTCGCATATGCATGACAGTGGCACAGGCGGGAACCCGTCTATGGGAAATTTTCCTCTATTCCCACAGTACTGCAAAGACAACATCTTGGATAATTGCAAGTTCCCTAAAGCTGCTCGCGCGGTTCACTACAAGAATGATTCTGTGGTTGCGCAACCTGGCTACTTTGCCCTGACACTCGAGAATGGCATCAAGGCTGAGATGACTGCGGCGCGGCGCACGGCATTGTATCGATTTACGTTCCCAAAGGGAAAGTCGGCGGATGGAACCGATCTCAATCCGTTGATCTCGGTGGATCTAACTGATCTGTGGGACAGTCGACAGAATGCTTCCATCAGCCTTGACGCCGACAAAGGTCGAATTAGAGGCAATGGTACTTTCTTGCCGAGTTTCGGGGCTGGCTCTTACAAGTCGTATTTCTGTGCTGATTTCGATGACGCTGAGGTCGATGACAGCGGAATCTGGGTCAATGACCGAGCTGGATCGGTGCAGGAGTTGTTTGTCACTCGCGGCTTCAACAACTTCTACCTTCAAGCCGGAGGCTATATGTCATTTGATCGTCCAAAGAATGGAATTGTGACTGTGAGGGTGGGCGTCAGCTTTGTCAGCTCGGATCAAGCCTGTAAAAATGCCGAAGAGGAAGTGCCTGAACCGGAGGATGCGTTTGATCATCTACGTAAAAGCGCAGAGGCTGCATGGAAGGAGAAGCTCAGCCCTATCAAGGTCACGTTGGGTGGTGTCAGCAAAGACATGATCAGTAGTTTCTGGAGTGGTATCTATCGTACCATGTTATCACCTCAAGATCTGACCGGGGAAAATTCACTATGGAAAAGCGACGAGCCATACTTTGACTCTTTCTACTGCCTGTGGGACGCTTTCCGGGCACAGCACCCGTTTCTCACAATCATTGACCCGAAATCACAGTCAAAGATGGTCCGTAGCTTACTGGACACCTTCAAGCACGAAGGATGGCTGCCCGATTGTCGTATGAGTCTCTGCAAAGGCTGGACACAGGGAGGTTCCAATGCCGATATTGTTCTCGCAGATGCCTACGTGAAGAACCTGACGGGTATTGACTGGGAACTTGCCTACAAAGCTATGGTCAACGATGCAGAGAATGAGCCACTCGAATGGTCATATGAAGGGCGAGGGGGCCTGCAGAGCTGGAAGCACCTCAACTATATTCCATATCTGGACTTCGACTATATTGGATTTGGGACCAATTCACGGAGTATCTCGCGAACCCTGGAGTACGCATACAATGACTACGGTCTGTCCGTTGTAGCCAAGGGCCTCGGCAAAAAGGATTACACCACTTATTTGTCTCGGTCTGGCAACTGGCAGAACTTGTACAAAGAAGACCAGAAATCGTTCCTAGGGAATGGAACAGACACTGGCTTTACTGGGTTCTTTCAGCCAAAGTACATCAACGGAACCTGGGGCTATCAGGATCCTATTGACTGCAGTGCTCTGGCGTCGTGGTGCTCTCTCACATCGAATCCTTCCGAGACATTCGAGTCCAGCATCTGGGAGTACCTATTGTGCGTGTACTCTTTCTCCCCAGTAAGCCTCCAACGCTAATCCGATATAGTTTTGTCCCACATGACATGGCAAAGTTGATCAAGATGGTCGGCGGCCCAGAATCCTTCGTGTCTCGATTAGACTATTTCCACACCTCTGGCTTGGCAGACATGGGCAATGAACCTGTCTTCTTGACCGTGTATGATTATCACTACGCGGGACGCCCTGGTCTGTCCGCCAGCCGAGCCCACGCTTACATCCCATCTTCGTTCAACGCCACGCATAGCGGGCTACCAGGAAACGACGACTCGGGAGCCATGGGCTCATTCCTGGCATGGAGCATGATGGGCCTGTTCCCGAATCCCGGTCAGAATGTGTACCTGATAATTCCTCCGTTCTTCAAGGCCGTCGCAATCACCCACCCTGAAACCAATCAGACTGCGACCATTCGGAATGTCAACTTTGACAAAACCTACAAGAATATATATATCCAGAGTGCCAAGCTCAATGGAAAGCCCTACACCAAGAACTGGATTGGACATGAATTCTTCACTCGGGGTATGACGCTGGAGCTGACACTCGGGAACAAGGAGAGCGACTGGGGTACACGCAAGGAGGACTTACCCCCGAGTTTGAGCGACTCGATTGCTGTCGGTGGAAATCATGATGGGATGTAGATATGTTTGGCATCCTTGAGCACAGTAATGTATTACTACTAGTAGGGTACGAATCCGTTCCTTCTGTGCATCCACTTCAGAAGTGAAAATCCGGAGCACATCCGATGTGGGTCTCTATGACCTGAGTCTATGATTCGGAGAGCAATGCTCACCTAGTAGGATTAGATTCTCTAAATGTTATTGTCTTGTCTCATACTGATCAATCGTATGACAGACACTTTAGGAATCTTCTGGGGCTCGCACTTGTGGCCCCGGCGAAGCCATGACTAAGCTGTGGCGTACCTCCCCCAAGTAGGCAACACGTGGATTCCCCTTCGTACAAAGCCCTTTAGCACTCATTTCTCAGACCCTCAGCTGAAATCTTCTATCTCGTCTTCCGCGTGGGAATATTCCCTGCTCACAAGTTCCAGGTGCTCCCGTGACCGGACGCTTGGCGACATTACTTTTCCCCAACGATCACCCGCGAACATGGCGAACCGACAAATCACACGGCGCATTATCAGCAGCGCAGCGATCGCACTATGCCTCATATTCTTCCTCTTCATTCGACCGCAAGGGCCACCGAGTCCCGCCGTCCGCGCCCCAGGCCACATCGACCACTCGGCACCGGCAGCCGCGCCGGGGATAACCATCCAAGATAACACACTGAAGGGCGACGTGGTGATGCCGAAGCTAGGCAATGAGACAGTCAAGTAAGGCGCTCCGGGGAGGGACACATTGGGCAATACACGAGCGCAATTGGACAAATTGCTGATCACAGAATTGGTGGCTTTTCCAGAGCTGAATTAGGTCGTGCGACTTGGAAGTACTTCCACACTGTCATGGCGCGGTTCCCCGAGACGCCCACGGAAGACCAAAAGGAGGCTCTGCGCTCTTATATCTACCTCTTTGCTCGGTTATATCCTTGGTAATGAAGTTCCTATCCTACGTGCTCTGTGCTAGATCGGAGACTAACGGTTGATGACATCAGTGGAGAATGTGCTGAGCATTTCATGCAGCATTTGAGCAAGTATCCGCCTCAGGTTTCCTCGCGCAATGCGGCTTCTGGCTGGGCTTGCTTCGTTCATAATGAGGTTAATGCGATGCTTGATAAGCCTGAGTTTGACTGCACCAATCTGGGGGAATTCTATGATTGCGGCTGCAGTGAGGACGATAAGGTGGGTGAGGGCAAGGAGGGGTCAGCTACTTCTCGGTCTGATGCTGGGAAGGAGACTACGGGGCAGCATGATGGTCCTGCTGTGGAGATCTCGAAGGAAGAGTTAGTGACTTCTTGTTGTGCCGCGTGGTTATGGCTGTTTGGTTGCTAATGTGTGACTTAGGACGACCCGTGGTTGACGGGATGACTTTTCGACTATTCTTTCGACTATTCTTTCGACTACATGGGGCTCGTCCTGTCTGGTTTATACCCAGCGCTTGGATGCTTCTTAGACACCTTGTTGCACACGCTTATGGAGCTGGTCTCCCTTGTACAATTATAAATCGTAGGTTGACTATGTCAATATCAATCAATATACCCTTGTTGTGTTATGCATGTGGCTTTGGCATAAAAAGAGGTCTATCTCGAGGTATCGAAAGTTCTTATCATCGCATCTTAGTTTCTAGCTCTTTTTCCCGAGCATATCTTTTGGGGGTTTTGCTCATTTACACATGTCAGAAAATAAAGATACTTGGAGAGCCTACCTCAATCCTATAAAAGTACAAATGATAGCGAGCTACAAGCTGGTCAACGACTAGTAGTATACTACATGTCCCTCTAGATTGCCGATCCCTACAAAGTGCATGACCCGAGCGTTCTACGCACAAAGATCATCCTACCTGGTGACCAAGTGTAGAAGATGGCGCGCATGACCAAAGAGGCCTAGACAGTATCCCTAAACCGCAGAGCAGACGAAAAGGCGCATTCCGTCATACCGAGCTTGTCTTAGCAGAAAGCACCGATCAAACTTTCTTCACTATCAGCAACAGCAATGATGTCGTCAGGTCGTACCCTCGTGATACCAACCCGCCAACAGATCAACTAATTTCACGTAGCATAATCGAAACCTCAAAGGGTGATATATCACGGATCTTAGCATATATCGGGATAGCCGGGTAAGAGTGTTTGAGTTGGGGCCAAAAATAGCATACAGCCGTCGAGATGGGACGTTTCGAGGGTGGCCAGTCGGCCAGTCTGACTTCTCGTATCCTGGGAAGAAGCGAATGAAAGCATGGGGTCTCCTGACAGGCCAGCCATCCATGTCCGCATGGGATCTGCGCCTTTCCAGTTACCCTGAAACATGTGCCGAGTCAAGAGATAATAAATCAGGGGTTTCTCCCATTCTTTGCATTCGTTTATACGACGAATGTTCCCAAAATAGTTGGAAAGACTACACTTTGGTCTCCCTCGACGCGCCCAGGCTGTTCATATTACCCAAAATAGCCTAGCCTGGCTCCCGATCGAGACTAGTGTGGACTTGCGCGCCAATTTTCGACGCGAAAAGAAAAAGAAAAAAAAAAAGAGAGGAAAAGCCGAGATATCGCAGTTCGTATCAAAGCAAATCCCCCGCTTAGACGTTTTGTGCTGGACTTCTCAAGGGATACAACCCCCCTCTTGAAAAAGCCCACCCTCAAACTCTTGTTTGCGCACCTGATAGGGTGATCTCTAGTGTCAACAATGGTCTCCTTCTCTTGCGAGGTAAGTCCTATATGATGTCTGAGGCGTATGTCTTGCGCTCGAACCGCTGCTAAGAATCACTGTGGTAGGCGTGTGGTGATGTTCTCACTAAGAAAAAGCTCGATCCTCATCGCGGCCAATGTCGCGGCGCCTCCTTCACCTGTATCGATTGCATGGTGCATTTCTACGGAATGGAGTATAGAGCTCATACGGTACGTCGGATCCGCGTCGCATTTTCGCATAATGGTCGTGGGGCTACTCCACTAGGGTCCTGATTATTGAATCAACAAGGGAGACATCCGCTAACGAGACCGGCAACCACAGTCATGCATGACCGAGGCGCAAAAGTATCAGGGTGCTCTATATAAAGAGAAGCCCCAGAAAGGAAAGAAAGGACAAAACAACAAGCAGAATCCCAACCAGAATCCCAACGGCCGTCACCAGCAACCCCGTGTGGACGACGGTTCAGACGGCGAGGCCCTGAAGAACGCTCCTCCTCCCCCTGCTCCCACTCCCCCTCCTGTCGGTGATGTGAGGGCCCCTGCTCCTCCCCCGGCCAACAATGACAAGGCCGTCAATGTGTTCGATTACCTCATCGCCGATGAGACTCCGAACGCATCCAAGGTTACCCTTGCCGCACCCAAGGAACAGATGAAGATGAACCCCAATGCCAAATCGCTCTTCGAGCCCAGCCAGTCCCTTACTCGCGTCGAAACAAACCCCAACACGGATGACGAGGGTAAAAATTACGATATCGCATTCGAGGAGAATGGCTTTTCATACGGCGCCGGCAACATCCCGCACTCAGCATCGCCCCCGAATGCGTCAACAGAGTTCGTCACGCCCGCACCTAAGAAGAAGAAGGACCGCCGTCGCGAGGAGAAAGCCCCCGGCACTGTCAGCGAGAAGAAGCGCAAGCGCGGTCAAGCAGAGGTGCTCAGCACCCCGGGTGAAGCAGTCGACACCTCAATGATGGATGCTCCGTCCAGCATCGTCAACAATGCCGGCACACCCATGCTGAACCATTCCGGCCTGACCGGCGGCTTGAATCGGATGATGCGCTCCCCATCCGCCGACGGCGACGACAGCCCCGAAACCAGCCGCCGTGCCTACCAAGATACCTCGTCCCCGATCAAGCGCAGCCGCCGCAACGGCAAAGAAGCCAACGGCAACGGTGATCCAGGTCTCGGCATCTCAATGAAGAACCGCGCTGGCCGCCTCGTCTCCTCCATGTTCGGCGGTTCAGCTGTCTCGAGCACCAACGGCTCCAACACAGATTCCGCTCCCAAAGCTCTTGTCCACCCCCGCCGCGGTAGTTTCTCCAGCGGCGACGGCCAGCTCGAGGTCCGCAAGAACAAGAAATCGCACCGCGCGCGCGCAGACGACTACGATGACTCCCGCAAATCTAAGCGCAAGAGCTCAAACCCCACCGATGGCGACAGACCCTCCCGCCGTCTTAAGCAAGTCGACGAGCGCCGCGTCTCCATTGACTCCTCCAACGGCCACCAAGTGACTGTCTACAGGCAGTCGCGGCCGCCGGCGCGCTCGGACGAGGATCTGCAGCGCGATCTGGCCTACCACTTCCTCTCGCTGGTCCCAAAGGATAGCCAGCGTGGCTGCTCCCTTAACAAGGCGCTTAAGCGCTTCCACCGTGAGCTCTCGGAGGAGTATGATGCTGATCATGGTCATGATAATGGGCGCGGCCGGGTGGACCGGGATCGCAGGGCTGATGATGAGAAGGATCTTTTCCGCGCGTTACGGCTAAGACGTAACGATCGTGGTGAGATTGTTGTGTTCATTTAGAGCCTAGTCTCGGTGTGTGTATGATTTCAATCAAACGATGTTCTTTGTTACGAGGTGAATGGGCTGGTTATTTTGCATAGCGCCATGTTTTTTTGATGCGCTAGGTTCGATATTTGCAGTTTTGTCTACATTAATTCAGCATTAGGACTAAATTGCATTGATAATGTGTTTGGCTGTCTTTTCTAGTGTCCTCCGTTTGTAGTAGGCATGGAAGCGAAGGAGTTAGCTCCTCTCATTAATATCGAGCACATACCGAAGGCCCGATTGATTGTTCTTTGATATGCAGCAAGATGCTGTTTTATAGATATAAGCCTCGTTCACTAGGTCTTTGTTTTATGTCTTGGCATAAAGTGGAGTCCAACACCCCTCTTCTCCCTCTCACTTTGTGATTGCATGCATCAACCAAGCCCATAAATTACACCAGCTCATATCATCCCTCAGATACGAAGCATGACTCGAATTCATAGATTGCCGGCCCACATTACCACCTGGGCACAGGCACAATGAGTCATGTTATGTAATTCCTGACTCACACCTGAGCGGC